GGCTGGACTCGATTACCCATCCTTAATTTATTATATGTTCAATATATATATATATATATTTGTATAGCATATTCCAGCATCTCTAACCTCAATTAATTACCTTGCTTTAAAATTTCCGCCATACAATATGATCATCACTAATCTAATCTTGCATATCTTACCGATTGAGGTATTTTTTATTTCCTTCCAGATTTTGGATATCTCTGACATGAGTTTGAAGATACCAGGTCAAACATATGATGTGATAATATATAGTAGTAAAATTTCGCTCTCTTGATAGCTTTATAATAATTTTCTATGTAATTACATGCCAACCCTTAACTAATTAATCACCACAGCGTTACACAATTGATGATGCAATTTGAATGTGGATTTTTCTCATTAAATGTCGTTACCATTTACCAAGAGCCCGAGCATACAAATGGAGGGGAATTTTAAATGTCAGGGAAAAAAATGTAGATTACCTAATTATTATACTACCATAGAGCGGCCTCCCTAGGGCCAAGATATTTATGGTAATTATTTAAGAATAGATTAAATATCAATTTTAATCCCTTTAATTTTAAAATTTTATATAATTTTGGTCTCTTAATTTTTAATATATTTTTTATTTTTTAATTATAAAAAATATTTTTTTAATTCTTTTGTTAGTTAATTTTCATTAACTTTGTGTATATATATACATTTTTAATCCATTAAATTTAAAATTTTACGCAATTTTTGTTCTTAAATTTAAAAGTTTAGAAAATAAATATATATATATATGTACTTAATAGATTAATTAACAAAACAAAAACTAAAAAATATGTTTTTCTTATAGTTAAAGAGATTACAAAGTATATAAAAAAAAGTTAAAAAATTAAAATTATGTAAAAAGTCAAAGTTAAAGGGCTACAATTGACATTTAACTTTTAAGGATAAGGGAACTCTGCTTGATCATGTGCCATTTGTGATCTGAAAGCTTATTTGATTTTTATATTATTTAACTTTTCGTTTTTTCTTTATCAAATGCCGTATATGACAAAAGGAGCTTTTAATTGTTTAATTATTATATCTTCGACCAAGAGCGTTGCTGACATGCCTTTGAGAATAAATTATATTAAATTATAAAGTAAAAATTATTTAATAAAAATTTTTTAATATTAAAAAATTTATTTTTAACTAATAACTAATATTTATATTATATTATATTATATTTTTTGGTTTTGACAATAAATTACTCTAAAAATATAAGAATTAATGTTAATTTTATTGTCAATGTCACGATGTGTCGAATTAATTGGTGTTTTGAGAATTCTTGGGTAGAGCAGTTGTAATTTCCCATATAAGAGTTCTCGTAGGACTTGAGTTTCAGTCTAACCCATTCCTCCTTTCCCCAAAAATGTAATCCTGTTAAAAAAATAATTGGT